CGATGTGTTCAGCGCAGTCACACTTCTTTGGTGTGGAGAAACGCACGGCATTAGAGAAGTGGGTGGGCCCTATCCTCCTGTTGGCCGCGATGGGGATAGCGGTCAGCCAATCCCCCATCCCGTAACCGGTCAGTGAGTACATCCGCTGCGTGTGTCCGTACAGGGGGTTCAGCGCCATCCGTCGTGTCTCCATGACCTGTGCGGCATATCTGCTCCCATGTACCCTCAGTGCCAATGCGTGTTGGAGCCTGATGTTTGATCGCTCCAGCCGCTCTTTCTCCAGGATCTCCCGTGCATCTTCCGGTAAAGCCGCTTCGCACTCCGATAGCCATGTGTGGAGAGGCGTGGTGACGTCTGCATGCAGCAGCATGTGGTCCCGAGCCTGCGTCAAGGCGCCATCAGGGGCGCCGTCTAGTGATGCCAGGAAAAGCGCGGCTTGTGTGAAGCTCGCTGCATACCCGTATACTCCCTCGATTAGGGGTCGGTAATGCCTATCCCTCCCAAGAACGGCGGCAGTGAGGCCTGCGCCTAGACACGTGCTTGTTCGGTGCGGCAGGTGGGGACGCGGATGCCGCATGCTGTGAGTAGCGCTGCAAGCAGATTAGTGCCCCACTGACTCCAGGTGTCGTGAGGCAGGAGGTGAAGCGGTGTCGTTCTGGTGAGGTATGCCACCCACCTCGAGATACAGCGGGTGAGCAATAGCGATGCTACCTGGGGGTCGGCTTTCTCAAGGAGTGGCAAAGGATTTGCCATTTCCTGTAACTGACCCGACAAAAACTGTGACGCCCCGCTGTCAGGGCCCACGAAGCTTCCCAGCAAGTGCACGCCGTCCTAAGAAAATGGAACTCCCTGTGGCAGCTGATCCTTCACTGCTGCTTCCCTGCTCCAGGCTGCGCATTTATGCGCGTTGTGTCTTAGCCCCAGGTGCGCCAACCTCTCTCAAGCAGTCCTTCATTGATAGGTTCATAGGGGTACAGGCATGGCAAGAACAGGTGCAGAACATCCCTAGTACTGCGAGCAGCCGGTAATGCTTGGCAAGGCCGAGGTGGGCACCACGGGTGGCCAGGCTAGCAAATCCTTTGTGACAGAGGGTCAGGAACTTGGGGGCAAGTGAAGGGGTGCAAAACACACAGAACAGGCCCACAAAGCAAGGCCCACCGGAGCCAGGCAAGCAAGGCAAGGCAAGGCAATCCACAGAGGCCTGAGCCAGAGGGGCATTTGGCTAACACTTAGCCAGACCCTATGCAGTATCTATCCCGCTCATTGACCCATCACCCCATCCATCTCATCCTCCAGGACTTGCCAGAGATCCCCTAGGCTAGGTTCCCAGGGGTCCCTGGCAACCTGTGAGAAGGCTGCCACGTCCCCTATGTTCGACTTGTTCAGAAATGACGAGGCCTGTGAGCGCTGGAGCATAACGCTGAAGCGCTGCCTGTAGTGAGCGGTGAGCCGAGCAGTGGTGGTGGTGAGCCTCCCCTGGCGGAACCTGGTTTTCGCCGTCGAGGTTGCTAGCAAGCGGATGAACTGTTGGGTATCCGTAGCCAGGGCAGCGTAGGTTTCCACTGCCAACCCGAAGAAACCCACGTAGTCAGGCCGCCCCTCATAGAGCCTGTGTTTCTTCTCTGAGGCTTCTCGTGCCGCCCATCCAGGCGGCTTCCGGGCGCGCTTGTCACGGCACTGCAGCACTGGGTCGGTCACTGTCACGTCTGTGACCCAAGTCTCATTTGACTCCTTGTCCCGAATAGCCAGTTCTCCTCTCTTCCTCAGCACCAGTGGGGAAAAGGCGGTGGTTTTGTGGAAAACCGTGAAGTCGGCCTCCTTTGCCATCCGGAGCAGAGTAAACACTAGAGCATCATGTGTGCGGACTACATCTCCTCCGTGCCCACACCGTAAGAGGTGGTTTGCCAAGCTCGTGTCCGTGATTGCAGTGTTGGCTCGCTTGCACGGGCAGGTGGTTGTGACTGGCAGAGCCATTCCGAGGCGGAAGCCAAGTGCCAACGAGAACTGACCAGGGGCGAAAGTAAGGTCAGATCTCGTTGGGACGGCATGGAGCCAATCCCCCGCGCCTACCCCTTGCAGGCTGATGAGCCGCAATGCGTGCCCACGGTCCTTCCCTGGGCGGTCTTCTATTGTGTCGGCCAGCAGCTCCGCCGCTCTCGTCTCGTTGATGTGGCGGGACAGGGTCAGTTGAAGGTTCCCCTGTCCCGCCGGCTACTCCCTGTAAGTGTGCAGTGCCGCCCGTGCCGCTAGGGGTAGCCCGGCCTCTAGAGTTGTCAGGGGGTTGATGCTAGGCGGGGCTGGGGTCCAATCAGGGCAGAGCAGCTCGACCGCCTTGCTCAAGAGATAGGCCTCTGGCAAGTTCATCTGGCTCAGCAGCTGCTGCGCCGCTGTGACCGAGGCGATGTAGGCCGTAGGTGCCTCGGAGACTGGGTCAAGAATCCCCAGGCCTCCCAGCCTGATCGGCAGACTCCCCTGGCGCCATAACAAACTCCTCTCCAGCTCATCTGAGGGTACTCGGAGCTTCGCTGCTGCTAGAGCCGTTGCCATCAGGTTCTCACTCCAGCTCCTCCACTCATCTCTCCCCAGGACTTCCGCCGGTGTCGTCCGCAGGAAGTAGGACATTCGGCGGGATATGCTCCTCGTGAGGATGAGCATTGCACTCTGCGGGTGGAGTTGCGCCACCAGGGGCAGCGGGGCCGACGCCTCAACAAGCCGTGTTTGTGCTTGGGTGGTGCAGAAGGTGGGCACGACTACTGGGCTACCTAGGACTCGGATCCCGTCGGTGGTCTGCTGCAGGCCGATGGGAGGTGGCGTGCTGCCGTCTTCCGCCAGTGACTGTCCCCAGGCCGACGATTTCGCGATGTTGCAGCGGAGGCCGAGTGTTGCCAGCTCCCTGGTAATGGCCCCAAAGGCCTCATAGCAGGCCTCCTTTGGCCCCACGATCGTTATGTCGTCGGCGTAGGCTACTATCGCGACTTCCGGTAGGAGGGTCGCCGTACTTAGCAGGCATGGTTGGATAGCTGCCGCGAAGAGTAGTGGACCGAGCGGGTCCCCTTGACGCACTCCGCGTGACGAGAGGATTTGGTTCACTCCGAACCGCTCGTCAACCAAGAGTGGCGACGGTGCCTCATAGAGTGTTCGGGCCAGGGGCATTAGCTGCAGTAGACTGGACTGGGAGAGAGCGTTGAAGAAAGTCGCCCGTTCGACACTGTTGAAGGCGTTTTCTATGTCCAGCTGCAGTGCTACTCGTGTGTCATCGTCTCTCAGTAGCGATCTGACGGAGTGGACGATACACTCCGCGCCACCCGGTATCGCTACCCCAAACTGGACTGGTAGGAAAAAGGCCTTAATGTTCTCGGTTAAACCACGCAGTGCCGCCTTAGCTACAACTCGAATGATGGCCTCCCCTATCGCAATAGGCCGGACTCCACCGCCTGGTTTTTCTAGAGCGATCAACCGTGATGGCAGCAGCAGATCTCGGGTCGTTTGTGTTTGAAACGTGCTCAGCAGGTACGTCACCACCTTAACGAGTAGAATAAGCACCTCCCCGTTTGCCAGTGCCGGATCCTTGAGGTGTTCAAAACAGGTGCCAGATGGGCCGCCTCCAACCCCGTTCGGGCATTTCTTCAAGATTTCGTGAAGTTCGTCTGTTGATACACTGAGGGTCGAACGATTGAACCCGGTAACCGGTCCTGGTAGCGAAGTTTCGGCCGCGGGGTGTTTCGCTTGAAGTGCAGTCAATGTTTCTGCCGTCGCTTTCGCGAGCGGTGTAGTTCGTAACGCTGCTACCGCCTTGGAAATGTTTCCTTTTCGTATCAATCCTTCCGCCCTCGCGCATAAACCTGCGTCATCCGGCTGGTGTCGTGTCGGGTTTTCATTGTCGGGGATAACACATGCGTCGGTGTACAGAGCCTGCCAGCTGCCGAGTTGGAACTAGTGCAGGCGCAGCTCTATTTCTGTCCACCGGCTGCCTTCAACAGGTTCGGAGGCCGGGCGTAGCGTCAGCCTCGGCAGATACAGCAAGATCGCCCATGCACCTGGGCAGTCAGGATTCTTCGAGAGTCGAATGAGGGGCGCCAGGAGACAGAGCGAGTAACTTTCCAGGATCCTGGGCGGCATTCTGCGGACCAAGAAGGGTTGATCCCCTTTTTGGAGTGGGTATTTATCCCACGTGGCTGCCAGCTCCCAGATGGCAGAATCCTCTGCCAGGTCAGACGGTGATCTGACCCTAGAGTCGCTCTGTCCCTCGTTGGTTGCGTCCCCATTTTCTCCCACCAGACTTGGGTTCCCCCTGGCTCTTGGCGCTCCCTCGTTCCCAATTCCCGCACCCTGTGGGTTATCGCCCCGGGGGTTTACCCCATTGTTCTGGGTTCTCCTTCGCTCCCCAGTTGTTCTCGTCATGTGTGTTCCCTCCTCCTCCTCCAACGAGATTTCCTCCGATGGTTCCGCCGACTCAGCTACATAATCACCCCCCTCATCGGTGTTTTCATCAGCTTCGTCGTTTTGATTCGGTGTATGCTCCGCTTGCTCCGGTCGCTCGTGGCGTTCCCGCCACGTTCCTGTTCTTACGAGCGCGGCCCTTCCGCCGACAATTGGGCCTCTCCCGCTGAGTCCCCTTCTGGCCCCTCGCACTCCTCCCCTTGCTCTGCGGGCCAATTCTCCCCCCCGAAGGCCGGTGTTCTGCTCGACTCGGCCCGCCCGTTGCGGTGCTCCCGCCGGGATCCACGGTGTCACCATCGGCGTTGCCTGGCCAGCCCTTGGCTGGCCCCAGGTGATGCATTGCGCCCTCGTGGCACTGCGGGTTTCGCGCCGAGGAGTCTGTTGAGCCGTGGCGGCAGCCGTGGTCGTTCCCTCCTCTCCGCCCGTCGAGTTCCGCAATCCTTGACGCGGGGGTTGTTGCATTGCAGGGTCCGCCCTCGTGTTCCCTGTCACTATGGTCGGTGTGGGTGTGGGCCTGATCCCGTCGCTTGCTTTCCCTCTCCCGTCACTTGTTCCCGCAGATGGCAAATGACGCTCTTGCCCTTGTGGCAACTGCCCTTGCAGAAGCCAGCCCAGGAGGGGTCCCGGGGGACCAAGTCCCAGCCCTGCTCCGGGCCGCCTCGGTGCTGGCCGGGCTCGAGGCGCCATTTTTCCGCGGGCGGCGCCGGCAGTCCCGACAGCTCCGCGGCCCTGTCTACCGCTCCCCCCCAGGTTGTGTCCCTGCGTGTTTGCGCCCTCGGCAGCTACAGAGGTTTCGGCGTCCGCACCGGCGACCGGCGCGTCCTCCTCGGTCCGGGCTCCGCCCTGTTCCCCTGTCGCCGCAGTCGCCACCGCAGCCGGTGCAGACGCCGTTACAGGCTCCGGTGACGCCGTCAGCTCCACCGCCACGGTCGGTTCCTGAGCCACTGGTGGTCCCGTCTCCCCCGGTTGCCAGTGCCTGGGGGATGGGAGAGGGTGAGGCTGAGCCGCCGCCAGAGGCAGCGTCAGACCCGCCAGGCTCAGCAGCAGCCGTCGTCTCAGTCGCCTCAGCAGCAACCCCCTCCAGCCCCGCAGCAGCTGCATCCTCAACCGTCGCGGCCACCTCTGTCTCAGACCCCATTGCGCCACTTCCCCCTGCCGCCTCGGCCGCAGCCGCCTCGCCCCCCGTCGTCTCCTGTTCCTCCGGCGCCTCCCGATGTGCAGTTATTCCCACACGTTCCACGGGATCCTCATTTTGCCGCGCATGGGGCAGCGACTCCTTTCCACGTCGAGCAGTGCGTGATGCACGTGGGGACGTGTTTGACGTTGCTGTCCTACGTGCTGGACCAACTCCATGTGTGTCTGGCGCGGCAGGGTGTGGAGGTTGGGGGGATGTTGCCGTCGGAGCAGTCAGCGGCGGTGTCCGCCGCAAGGGAGATGCTGCATTATCTCCCCCTGATCGGGCTTGTCCAGGGCGCCCCTGGTGCTGCGCTCGGGCCTGGCCCTGGGGCAATGTTGCGGCTTGCTGAGTCTGCGCAAGGGGCCCCTCTTGGTCTTGTATCAGCCGCCGCATCCGTCCTACGCTGGATGGACGGGAGGCTGTGCTGGATACTCTCCGAGTAGCCGGCTTGTCCCCTCTGCTTTCCCCCTTCCCAGCGTGTTTAGCCTTGGGCTTCCCCATGGCGGTGTAGGCACGCCCGGGGGTGTTGCTTTTGCTGTAGGTCCCTACCACTGCATGTTGTATCGAATGCTATTATGAATCATGTCATTGGAATTTCCTTGTCGAAGGCGGCCGGCGCGAGCCGCCGGTTTTGGAGAGTGAACTAGACTCACCAGTGAAGAATGAGCTCACAGGGATAGGTTTAGGGGCTTTATACTAGGGGGAGTACTCTAAAAACGGCTAAGGACTAGATCCTAGGGGAGAAGGTCTAAAAACGGCTAAGGACTGAACTAGGCTATCCCTCTCTCTCTCTCTCTCTCTCTCTCTCTCTCTCTTCTCTCTCTCTCTCTCTCTCTCTCTCTCTCTCTCTCTCTCTCTCTCTCTCTAGCGGTCCTTCATTGATAAGATCAGAAAGGTACAAGCATGGCATGAGTAGAGACTAGGCCATTGTCTACCCTAGTTATGCCTGCATTCATGGCCCTGCAAGATATAGGTGCATGTGAGTGCTTCCTGCAACAAACCAGGCCTGGTGCCCTCAAGTCGCTCCATCTCCTGTTCCCTGTTCACCTAGCAGCCTGAACCCTTGTCCTCCCTGTTCAGCTGCCCTCCTGACCAGCCCGTGCTGCCCTACTCCCCCAGTACCCCCTCCATCTCATCCTCTAGCACCTGCCAGAGGTCTCCCAAGCTGGGCTCCCATGGATCCGTGGGTCCCTGAGGGAAGGCCGCCTCAGCAGCTCGGTTTGACTTGGAAAGGAAGGACACCGCCTGGCTACGCTGGAGCATTATGGACCACCGCTGTCTGTAGTGAGCTGTGAGCCGCGCAGCTGTGGTAGTGAGTTTGCCTTGGCGATATTTCTTCTTTGCTGCCGAATTTGCTAGCAGCCGCAAAAACTGCACCGTATCTGCTGCCAGGGCCCCGTATGTCTCCACCGCCAACCCAAAAAACCCCACACAGTCTGGGAGACCCTCGTAGAGCCTATGCTTGCTCTCGGAGGCTTCCTTGGCCGCCCACCCTGGCGGCTTCCGTGCTCTGGTGTCGCGCCTCTGTAGGACTGGGTCCGGTCACGGTCACGTCCGTGACAAAGGTTTCACCCGATTCCTGGTCCTGGATTGCTAAATCCGCCCTCTTACGTAGCACGGGGGGGGAGAAGGTGGTGGTTTCGTGGAAGGTCGAGAAACCTGCCTCCCTCGCCATCCGGAGTGCTGCATACACCAGTGCATCATGTGTCCTAACCACGTCTCCTCCATCAGCACATCTAAGTAGGTGATTCGGGAGCGAGGTGTCGCTGATGTCCGAGTTTTTCCGCTTGCAAGGGCACTTTACTGTAACCGGCAGCTGCATGCCTAGACGGAAGCCCAACGCCATCGAGAGCTGACCAGGGGATAATGTAAGGTCAGCCCTCGTTGGCACCGCGTGCAGCCAATCTCCTGCCCCTATTCCCTGCAGGCCGATGAGTCTCACTGCGTGCCCGTTGTCTTTCCCCGGCCTATCCATCATTGTGTCTGCCACGAGCTCCCTTGCCTTAGTCTCCCAGATGTGCCTGGATAGGAGCAACTGCAGGTTGCCTGCACCTGGTGGGCGTTCTCTAAAGGCATGCAGGGCTGCTCGTGCACTTGCAGGGAGCTCCTCCTCCAGTGCCGTGAGCTGGTTGCTTTTGGGGGGCTCCGGGTTCCAAGTGTGAGAGAGCAGTGTTGTTGCCCGGCTGAGTAGGTGCTCTTTCTTAATGTTCATCTGCTGCAGCAGTTGTTGCGCCGCTGTAATTGATGCAATGTGTGCTGCCGGTGCCTCCGAGGTTGGGTCCACAATGCCCAGCCCCCCGAGCCGTATTGGGAGTGTTGCCTGTCGCCAGAGCAAACTCTGTTCGAGCTCACACCTCGGCATCCGTAGTTTCGCCGAGGTGAGCGCCGCTTCCAGCAAGGTTTCGCTCCATCCCCTCCAGCTCTCTCTCGGCAGTGCTTGTGATGGTGTGGTGCGTAGCAGGTAGGACACCCTCCTGCTGATGCTTCGCGAGATGATGAGCAGGGCGTGTTGAGGGTGCATCTGGGCGACTAAGGGGAGTGGTGCGGAGGCATCAGTGAGCTTCGCGACAATCTGATTTGTGCAGAATTCCTCTGTGCCGATGGGGCTGCCCAGCACCAGGATGCCTTCTCTGCTCATCTCTAACCCCTCTGGAGGCGTTCCATCCTGGGCTTCTATCCCGTTGGGTGTCCATGCTGAGGATTTCCCAATGTTGCACTTCAGCCCGCATGATGCTAGACCGCGGGTGATGGAGTCGAACGCTAAAAACGCCGCCTCCTGTGGGCCTACGATCGTGATATCATCTGCGTAGGCCACAACCGCCACCTCTGGGAGGAGCGTGGCCGTCGTGAGTAGGGTAGGTTGGATGGCCGCGGCAAAGAGTATTGGGCCCAATGGGTCTCCTTGTCGCACCCCCCTGGTGCTCGCTATGTGATCTGTGTTGAAGCGTGTGTCGACGAGCAGGCGGGAGGGTCCGTCATAGAGCGTGCGGACGAGGGGTATGAGCGGCTGCAGGTTGGACCGGGAGAGCGCAGTGAAGAAGGCAGAACGTTCTACGCTATTGAAGGCATTCTCGATATCTAGCTGCAGCGCGATGCACTTGCTATCGTCCCGCATGAGCGATCTGACGGTGTGTATGACACATTCGGCTCCGCCCGTGACTCCCACTCCGTATTGCACAGGTAGGAAAAACTCTCTTATGTTCGGTGCTAATTCGCGTAGTGCCGCTTTCGCCACTATTCTGAGTATGGTCTCGCCAATGGCTATAGGTCGTACCCCGCCCCCTGGCTTTTCTAGGGCGATGAGGCGTGAAGGGAGTAGCATGTCGCGGACCTCCTGGGTCTGGAGTGTTCCAAGCAGGTGGTTAACTAAGCGCGTAAGTAGTATGAGAGCCTCCTCGTTTGTGTGGGCAGGATCCTTCAGGTGTTCGAAGCAGGTGCCTGATGGGCCTGCTCCCACTCCATTCGGGCATTTCGCCAGCAGATCGCGGAGGTCGTCATGGCTGATGCTGAGTGAGGCAGTGGCATACCCTGTAACCAACGCAGGTGTTGGCGTTACTGCGGTTGGGTGTTTCGCTCGTAGCGCTGCGAGGGTCTCTGGCGATGTGTCCGCCAGTGGTGTTACGCGTAACGCTGCAACCGCTTTCGAAATGTTCCCTTTTTTGACGAGCCCTTCTGCTCTAGCACACAGGCCCACATCGTCAGGCTGGTGTCGTAACGGTTCTCCTGTGTAGGGGATGACACAGGCCTCAGTGTAGAGCGCGTCCCACCTGCCGAGCCTGAATTGGTGTAGCCTGTGCTCGATTTCCGCCCACCGAGTCCCTTCCACTGGCTCCGGCAAAGGTCGCAGGGTTAGCCTCGGCAGGAACAGCAACAGTTTCCAACCTCCTGGACAGTCGGGATATTCCGTCGCTCTCAGGAGCGGGGTCAGTAGACATTGGGTGTAGCTCTCCAATAGCTTAGGTGGCAGCCGTCGGACAAAGAAGGGCTGATTGCTCTGCTGGAGCTTTGTCGTGTCCCATGATGCCACCTGTTGCCATAGTCCAGTGTCCCTCGCCAGGTCAGATGGTTGACGTATGCTTGGCTCTGGCTGTGGTGCTGGTCCCGCGCCATCTACCGGTTCCTCATTGTTGCCTCTCCCGCCATCTCCAAACCTTGCCCTACCCCGTGTGGCAATTCTTTCTTCACTCTCCCCCCCGGACTGTGAGAGTTCCTCCGAAACGTGCTCATTGTCAGGATTAAATTCACTCCCACTGTCGTTGTCGTCAGTGCTTTCCTCCTCATTCGCCACCTCGTGCTCAATCTCCGGACGGTTGTGTCGCTCCCGCCACGTCCCGGATCTAACCAGTGCTGGCTCTCCGCCCACGACTGGCCCTCTCCCCCCTCTTCCTCCTCGTCCCCCGCCTTGGTCTCCGCGTGCTCTTCCCCTGCCAGCGCCGTTGTTCCCTCCTTGCCCTCCGCGGGTTGCGCTCGCTCGTCCCGCCGGCATCCACGGCGCTTGCCTCACGGTCGATCGTCCGCCTTTCGGCGGTCCCCAGGCGATTCTGCCTCCTCTCGCGCGGCTTCGAGTCGCCCTGCCTTCCGTTTCTGGCTGGGCGTCGTTCCCGGCTGCTGTTACTCCTACCTGTGGTTGTGGTCGAGTCGCTGTCCGTTCGGTTTGCGGTTCGCCTCCGCCTCCACCCCTTGCGGTCTCCCTGCTGCTCGTACCCCTCGATGGCTGACGGTGCCCTTGGACTTGTGGCGTCTGCTCTTGCAGATGCCATCCCCGGAGGGGCCCCGGGGGACCCGGTGCCAGGCCTGCTCCGAGCCTTCGCGGTGTTGGCTGGACGCGGATCCTCTTCCCAGTCGTCTCGCGGCCGGCGTGGCGGGCCTCCTCGGCATGGTCGCCGTGGTGGCTCGCACCAGCCGGTGTATCGCTCCCCTCCTGGGCGGACTCATGCGTTTCTGCGACCGCGTCAGCAGCAGTCCTTCCGTCGTACTCGCCGTCAGTCGGGCCTTCCTCCGCCTCTCCCGCGTTCTCCGCGATCGTTGGTGCCAGGGTCCTCTCCTCCGCCGTCCCATCTTCTTCCGCAGGCTCAGTCGCCGCCGTCGCAACCCTCGTCGTCGCCGCTCCCGCCACAGTCCCCATCTGTTCTGCAGGCAGCTCCTCCGCCTTCTTTGTCCCCGTTGCCGTCAGCTCCCTCTGCCTCTGCGGTTGTTCTGCCCGCTCCAACAGCACCGCCTGCACTCCCCCCGCGCGCGCTCCCACAGTTGTTTCTTGGGGGGTGTGAGATCCCAAGACCATGTGAGGTGTTGTCGACTCCCCAGCCGGCTGCCGCACCCGTAGCCTCTGCTGCCGCTCCCGATGAGCCCTGTAGTCGGTGGGAGGAGTGTCCGCCTGTAGAGCGGCTTCGTCGCGTCGAGCAGCGCATTGCGACCGTGGGGACTGTCCTGGAGCTGCTGGCGT